ATATATATGTGTGTGTGTATTTTAGTACAACAAAAACAAGAACAATTTTTTTAATTTTTAATTGTAAAATTTTTAGTTGCAATAATAAAAAAAATGCATATAATAATAAAACTGGAGTAATTAATTTACAATATATTTGTAATACTTTGGGTACCACATATTATTATTAATTATTATTAATTATTAGAATACAAAAAATTAAAATTTGATTATTGCTAAATATAAGATACGCACATAAACTAACGTAATTTAACTCTTTGTAATATTATTATAAAAGTTTTATTACAAAATTTTGATAATTAATTATTGATAATTAATAAAGCAGTTATGTAATATAATAAATATGAATATATATTATCTTCCTATGGATGTAATTATTATTACAATATATTGTTGGCTATGTTGAATAAAATTCAGTAGAATACAAAAGCATTAGAGCTATTATAGCCCAGCTGATTGATGTGTTTATTGATAATTTATTAATATGATACAATCTCGTAAAATGCATTCAAACGTTTTAACCATAAATGTGATCCCTTTCTACTAATAAAATAATCGATAACCTAATTAATGTCAACAGTATAATCTTACGCAAAGAGATCTTCTGTCCATTATATTGTTAGTCTATGTGATCTTCGTAATGTGTTTTCTGTGATTCACTAGCGTCCTATTTTATGGTGTGTAAAGTTTGATGTATACAATTTATAGACATAGATAGACAGAGAAATCATAGTTTCCAATTTTTTATAATACAATTTATATATGTGTATAAGTGTTAAAGTTTATTAAACTAAAATTTTTAATTCTTTCCTTTTTGATAGAACATTGACGACTAATGTTATACGTGTGATTCTATTTGTTTGTTGTGGTAATAAGCATATAATCATGTCTGTTGTACCCTACATGATTATATCATTACCACACAAACAAATAGAATCACACTATATAACATCAGTTGTCAATGTTCTGTCAACAATGTTACATTATCATTTTTAAGACCAACGAAATTTCTTTAACAAAAATTCACAGGTATTCATATTATTATATAATTAAAAATTTTAGTTTAATAAACTTTAATACTTAACACATATATAAATTGTATTATATAGAATTGGAAACTGTGATTTTTCTGTCTACCTGTATCTATAAATTGTATACATCAAACTTGACACACCATAAGATAGGACGCCAATGAATCACAGGGAACACGTTATGAAGATCACATAGCCATAGACTGATAATATAATAGCCAGAAGATCTCTTTGTGTAAGATTATACTGTTGATATGCTAATTATAGGTTATCGATTATTTTATTCATTGAAAAGGATCACATTTATGGTTGAAACGTTTGAATCCATTTCATGATTGCTACATTTATACCGGGCGTTTAGTCCGCGACCTATACGATAGGTGTCTTTGTTTAACCTACAAGATAAACGGCCTATTTTATAGGCCGCGGCCTAAATGCACAATGTAAACGTAGCCTATATCATATTAATAAATTATCAACAAACATCAACCAGCTGGGCTGTAATAGCTTTGATTTTGTATTCTATTGGATGTATATTATCTTCCAATGGATTATACACAGGAAGAATAATTTTACTGATGTATTTAAAAATTTAATCAGATACAAATCTAAAAATAACTTTGTCGGACTGTCATAATAATATAGAAATCTTAAGCACAATCAGTAATATTATTTTGACGTTCTATCAACTGGTTTAGTCGTACAAAATTGATAACAATAACTCTCGAGAATGTCATAAATAAAGAACAAATAGAGGGCTAATGAGAGTTTTTAATTGCAGTAATTCGTGTTATAAAAAAATTTATTTCATATTACGATAAGTCAGACGTTTCGGCTTCACTTCGAGCCATCTTCAGTATATCTGAACCATACGAAATAGAATATAACAATAATTGTTCATGGCTATGCGGAATTCATCTTCGATCGTTGCTACTAGACTTGCCAACCTTGTGTCGCGAATTGATAGGAATGGAATGAGTGGTCACTCTCTCGTTTAGCCATTAGAAGTTATTCTATTTTGTATGGTTCAGATATACTGAAGATGGCCCGAAGTGAAGCCGAAACGTCTGACTTATCATAATATAAAATAAATTTTTTTATCGCACGAATTACCGCGATTAAAAACTGTCGCGATTAAAAAATTAGCCCTCTATTTGTTTTTTAGTTTAATCGCAAAGATATTTTCTACTCAATTTTAATCTAACAATTCTCCCATCATATATGCTCTAATTGTATCTGTATTGTATCTGTATGCTCTAATTGTATCTGTATATGTATTAATCTATATTAACGTCTACAAATAAAAATAATCAGATTAGATTAACTGAAATTAGTAAGCTGAAACGGTTTCTTATCTTTGATGAAAGTATTTTACGTTAGTGTAGTCTTTATCATTCCACGGGACGCAACATAATCAAACTAGAACAATATGTTAAATTTTGTGCTATTTATCTGTGTGTGCTACAATCGGTTTACGAGACCAGTTAAATTTGTAAATTAATTTTTAAAATGGTATGACAGTTTATACGTTGTGTATATGTTTATATGTGTGTAATATTTTATAATATAGTAGAAAAAGAAATACAGAGACAAAAAAAGAGGCAGAGAAGAATAATATCTTTTTCATCTTATAGTTATATATATGTCTTTTATATATATATAAAGTATGTTACATGTAATATAATATTATATATATACATATATATCTATCCAATTTTTTTAAGAATAATATTATATTTGTACATAGAGTTTTATAAAATTATTTACTTACCATAAATAAAATAAGATCAATTATTAATTAAAATTACAGATAGTAAGCTCCCGAATGGAATTGTTAACATATTCAAATAATCGCAGTATCGATCGATTATAGATAAGATTAATCGCATACTGAAATCATCGGAAATTACAAGTCACGATTATTACATAAAATCAGTAATATTATGGAATGATTTATCTAAGAGATGATGCAAGTCTAACATTTTAGTGAATAAACTGTGTTGTTTGCAAGCAATTGTTGAATAAAATACAGTATTCCAGAAGCAGTGAATAAATATAAAAACAAGACTCCGTGCAAATATTTATTTAACAACGTGAATTTTTTAGTGTTACACGTGAAATTTATTTTCAATTAATTAATATTAAATTTTATTTATATTAAATATTATTTCATAACTTAATTTTATATTAATTTATAAAATGTTTACGAAAGTGCCGCCAAATGGGGGATATGGATGGATTATTGTTATAGCTGGAGCATTAAATGCCGTAAGTTATCATAACGTTTTATCAGAAACATGATACAAAATTTGTCAAAATACCAAAATTTTTGCCACGAATAGAAAACTGAGATTAATTTAAATAAAATTTTTATAGCTATCTACCATCCCGATTGTACAAGGATTCGGATTGATATTTAAAGAATCTTTTGCAACACTTAATTTAACTGCAACAGATACGTCAGTTATAATTAATATAAATTTGGCATTTGGTATGATACTCGGCTTAATCAATGGGCCCCTCTTGAAGATCTACGGATATAGAAAAGTGGCGATGGTTGGAAGTATTATATATGCAGTTGGTATAACATTGACGGCATTCGCCAACACCTTTACTTTTATTATGATTTGTTATGGAATATTAGCCTGTAAGTAAAACAGAATTATTTGTCAAATATTATAATAATATTATATATAATAATAATATTTTATAGCAATTATTGGCAGACAATATTATATTTTTTATATAATTCTAAGTATTACAATATACTATTTTAGTTACTACAATTATAAACAAATAGTCATTATTATGTAAATAAATTAAACAAGAAATAGTCATTATTAAAATATAATTTTATCCTTTTGCGCATCACATTTTGCAAGTTTCTTAAATACGATCGTATACTTGTTATAAATTAATTATCAAATTTATTTATATAGCTATTGGTATGGCTATGTCGTTGTCTGGATTCTCTTTGGCGACCAATACTTATTTTACTACGAAACGAGGACGAGCTATAGGCATGGGTATGACTATCATGGGGGTGGGCCCAATTATTATGCCTCAAATAGCATCCATTTTACTTTCATTTTACGGTGTTCAGGTATAGTAAAAGTTTTGATAAAAAGATATAAAAATTTAGCACATCAAAGAATTTAACTGATTGAAGAAATTTATAGCTCTTTAATATTCCTGATGCGTAGGAGATGATTATATAAAATGAAAATATTGGAATATGAAGAGTTAACTCTGCTGGATAGAAAATATAATTTGTATATATACATATATACTTAAATCTCAAAAGGCACCTCGTCCGATGCGGCTTTACGACGAATGTTAGTTACTGATCGTAAAGACCAATAGTAACTGCTTATCTATGTGGGTCGGACAATGGATATTTATTTATTTTCTATTACTGATTGCCATGTATAACTAACTTATATAATCTTCTCTTTACGCATTGCCGATCTGTGACATCATTTATAAATGCCTTATAAATCAAGAATTAAACAAATACATTTCACTATAGCAAAATGTATTTCTTTAATTCTCAACTTATCCAAAGTTACAACTGCTTACAAATTGCTAATTATAAGACAAAAATTACTATAAATTTCAAACAAAAAAATAAATAATACGAAAAACATATATAATATTAAATAGGGAACCGTTTTGATACTCGGCGCTTACAGTTTTCACTCGATGATAGGCGCAATGCTGCTACAACCGGTTAAATGGCATATGATAAACGTGCCCATCTGCTTCGAGACAGTCATTGAAAATCCTAAGACTAACAATAATGATAAAAAGATTTTGACTGATAATAACGATAAAAAAGGTATTTGTTAATTAAAAATATGCCTGATAG